TTTTTTTTCCTTTTTTTTTTTTTTTTTTTTTTTTTTATATCTAATATAATAAGTATATGTGAATAAAAATACAAAATATAGACTCTAAAAATATCAAATATCGTTTCGTTTAAAATATTACGTTAAAAAAAAAAAAAAAAAAATCGATTATGCACTAATTTTTTTTTTTTTTTTTTTTATCGTAAAAAGAAAAGTCGTTACTCGTTAAAAGAGTACAAAAAAAAAACAAAAAAACTTAAAATTATAACAGATAAAAGCAAGTCTAACAATTTTCTAGGCTATAATGCCACAGACTGTACATGAAAAAAAAAAATATATATATATATATATTATATACATATATTTATTTATTTATATTATAAAGTAAAATGTAATAATAATGTATCGTAAATAAATAATAATATATAATATAAATATACGACGTACATATAATAATAATAATAATAATAATATAATATCAATAACTTACATTTCGATAAATATAAACAGGGTGTAAATATATATAATATTATAATGTATGTATGTAAAATATACAAAGAGTATGGCTTAGAATATTACTAGAAAAAAAAAAAAAAAAATTCGAAAACGTTTTGCAATTTTTTTTTTCCCCCAAAATGGTTTTTTTTTTTTTTTTTTTTTTTTTTTTTTTTTTTTTTTTTTTTATTTTTATTCGTCGTTATTCTATCATTAAACAATAGGTAATACATAATATTATGCAGCACTTGGTTAACAATCACGTTCAGCCTTAATCATTAAAAAAATAATCGCGATATTTTCTTAAATTGTATTCATTTATTTTTATTTATTATCTAAAAAATACAAAATTAGTCTCACTAAATTTTACTGTTTCCTCCGTAAATATATATATATATATGTATATGTATATAATATAGGTGTATTTATAATGTATTCAAAATCGTAGAAAAAAAAAAAAAAAAAAACGTTAAAAATTATATTTATCATTATCGTGAACATACAACGGTATACGCACATATTGTATTATGTATGCAGCCGCTACATAAAAACATATGTACCCGAATGTATTAGTAATTTATTATATCCCGTAACGACATTATGTGTGTACGACCAATTAGAAAAGAAAAAAATCGTTTCGTTTTTTTTTTTTGTTTCGTAAAAAAATATCTCTTTTTCGCTCGCGCGCGTCGTTTGTAAAAATCGTAAAAAATACCCCCCTTTCCCGTAACAATACAAACGGGGAGGGGAGGAGGAGGGGGGCTCGGAGGAGGTGGAGGTATATTTGTGTATATTATTATTAATTATAATACGAACGAGGATGGCACTCGAGACTAGAGTTAAAAAAAAAAAAAAAAAATGAAATCCCCGATAAACAACAATAAAGTCGTTTCTCTCTTAAAAAAAAAAAATAATAATAATAATAATGTATGCTCTCTACGGGGACGTTTCGCGTTTTGTGGTTTTTTTTTTTCTCGGCTGGGCAAAAGAAACGTGTTTTTCACGGAGCGAAAAAAACCTAACCAAATGTAAATCTTTTTTTCCCGCGGCCTATACTCTCTAGCCCTGTAATACACTAAAATAAAGTCTTAACGAGTTGTATGTGTAAAAAAAAAATAAAAAAAAAAATAAACAGCACTTATCACAATATATTGTAGGAGAAAATACGTTTGATAGAAAAAAAAAATTATCTGATTTTTTCGAAAATCTTTACAAATAAAAAAAAAATAAAATACCTAATATTAATGAACACTCCTGTTACTTTCCACTGGTATATTAAATTAATTATAATTACAATTAATTTATCGCGATCGAATAAATAAATTATGATAATCGTAAACACGGTTATTTATTCCGTCGTCGGTATAAATACATTGCGATGACACGTGGGCGTACGATTTGCCGTCGCGTTTTACGTGATGGCGAGAAAAAAATAAAAAAAACTATGAAAAAAAAAAAAACAAGCTTTTGTACCGATTTCTTTTGTTTGTTTGTTTTTATTATTATCGATTTTTTAAAATTAACGTGTTTGTCGCCTCGTTTGTTTTTCAAAACATTCCGTACGGCGTAATAAAAAATTCGTAAAAAAAATTAAATGGTTTTATCGTCGACCTTTGCGGTGGTAGAGGGGTAGGGGAGGCTTCTATTACAAGTGCTTTTTGAATAAGTGGTGCTATCTAATTATAATGAACAGAAACAAAAAAAAAAAAATATGTTTAAAAAATGATTTTTAATAATAATAATAATAATAAAAATAATAATAATAATAATAATAATAATGATAATAATAATAATAATAATAATGATAATAATAATAATAATAATAATAATAATAATAATGATAATAATAATAAGGAAAAATGCGCAAACACAACTTGGAAATGCAACGAAATCAGGTAAAACGTAACAGATAAAAAAAAAAAAAACTAAAAAAAAACTAACGAGTATTTTTTTTCTTTATAATAATATATAAGTATACCTACAAAGAACAAAAAAAAAAAAATTATATCAATACTATTACAGACTCCAACCAACGAACAAAAAATAGAAAAAAAAAATCGGCTCCCGTCTCGTTTGAAAATAAAAAAAAAAACTCCTAATTCTATTTTGTACTGTGCAGTTTTTCTTTTCCTCGAGAAAAAAAAAACGTGGGGGATGATCGGATACGGGGCGGGTGGGTGGGTGAGGGAAGCGTAATTATCTCGTTAACTAAAATAAAAAAAAAAATTAAAACGTTTGTTTACTCGACACAAAATGCAAAAATTATTCTTTTTTTTTTTTTTTTTTTTTTTTTAAATTTTTTTGTTATTTATTCAATTTATTATTATAATGCATATAATAATTTATGTCGTCACTTCTCGTCTACTACTATGATAGTTTTTTTTTTTTTTTTTTTTAATTTTTTTTTTCCATTAAATTATCATTTAGACAGTACGGTTTTACACGGGTAACATATTAAAAATTATTATACATCAAAAAAAAAAAAAAAAAAAAAAGGTTTCATAATTATATATAATATAAGATAATTAAAAATTAAAAAAAAAAAAACTGTACAATAGGAACATGTCTCGTCTTCTCCGTCTCGTTTAAGCGTTTTTTTTTTTTTTGTTATTATGTATAATATATATATATTTATATATATATGTATTTTTTACGTGCTATTTCACGATTTTTCAAAGAGAGAAAAAAAAATAAATTTAATAGGCTTATACGTGTAGAGAAAAAAAAATAAAAATATATACGCTAAGTTTTATTTTTTCACACAATGTATGTATATATATATATATGAATATATAATAAAAAATACGGTACCTATTAGAATACATAATACATAATATTATATTATCTATTCGCGGGCGTACGGAAACGCGCGTACGAAAACCGAGAAAATTATTTACGGGAACGTATCGTTTCGACACTTCGCGATGTTATCGAGAATGTACTAATAAATAAAAAAAACTGCGAGAACGATCGGGGAAAAAATGTGTTTAAAAAAAATAATAATAAAGCGGTAGCGCTAACGATACAGACCGGCCCGTCGTAGTCGTCGCCGCCTTCTCTCGAAATTGATAAAAAAAATTTTTTTTAAAAATTACGTATTAAAATATGTAGAAAAATAAATGTACTTAAAAAAAAAAATTAATAAAAACCGCAACGGTATTAGCTAGCGGACAGAGAATAATCGAAACAATTAAAAAAAAAAAAAATCTCTAGAAGTGTAATATTTTCTTCTCTCTCCCTCGCTCTCGAAAAAAAAAATCGATTTTCATATTTACACGTACGTTACGTACCGCCGCCGCCGACAATAATAATAACCGTAATGAGTATAAAACAATAAATGAATTATTATATTATTTAGAGGGTTTTTTTTTTTTTTTCCCATTGTGTAATATATACTTAAAAAATATATATCGTGTATTTGAGCAATCTTTCTTTAGACGAAAAACAGAAAAAAAAAATAATAATAAATACCGTAATTAATAATATATTAAATTATACCAGAAAAACCGAAAAGAAAAAAAAATATCACGTTGAGATGTGTTTTTTAACTGGTTTTTCTTTTGTATGGTGGCGGTTTTTTTTTTTGTTTATGTGTGTGGGTGGGGTATGTGTGTGTGTGTGTGTGTTGTTGTCGTCGTTTTTTGTCTACTGTTGTGGCTGTTGTTTCGGATTGTTCTTACCGTACCTCCGGTGGTATTGTTCGCGGCGGAGCTCGAATAGCCGGTCCCGGAGCATTCGCTGTTTCTGTTGCATGACGTGCTTCTCGGACAGCAGCCGCCTCTCGTCCAGCATCATGAGGTCGCACTCGCGCTTGGCGCCGCGCAATATGCTCAGCTTGGACGGTATCTTCCGGTTGTCGTCCAGGAACGACACCTGCATGCTGAGGTTCATGAACAGCATACTGGTCTCGACGCGCCGCGACTTTTCCAGGTCGTTGTGCAGCGCCCGTTTCACCGGGTCCATCAGTTTCGTTTTGTAACTGTAACCGGTGCCCGGCTCGTACTTGATTTTTTTCCCGGCGCACGGGCCCGTCTGCAGCACGTCCTGCTCGTCGCGTTGCTGCTGTTGTTGCTGCTGCTGCTGCTGCTGACGGTGGTGGTGTTTCAACGCCGACGACGATTTGCCGTTCTTCTTCTTCTTCTTCTTCTTCTTCTTGCGGCCGCCGCCCGCGGTCGTCGACGACGACGACGATCTGCTGCACGTCGACGAACCGCCGGACAACTTGCCGTGGCACCGTCCGCGGCCGCCGCCGGACGTCGACGCGTCCGCGTTGTTCGAGCCGCCACGGAACACCTTGTCCCAGTCCATGTCGTTTTCGTCGTCGTAATCGTCGTACTCGTCTTCGAACATGTCCTCCGGTTCGTTTTTCATGAGCGCGTCAAAGTCCGCGTCCACGTCGTAACCGTCCTCCTCGTCGTCGTCCAGCGGCTCCTGTTTGATGGCGGCCATCAGCGAGCCCACCGGGTCCTCCGGCAACGGGTCGTCGACGGGTTCGTCTTTGATCACCACGTTCTTCCACTGGTTGTTGTCCTTTTTGTACCGGTCCAGCAGCGACAGACCGCCGCAGTGTTTCTTCGGCGGCGGCGGCGGCATGGCCGGGTACGCCGCGGCCGACTTGTGCTTCCGCTTCACCGTGTTCTTCCACTTGGTCACGGGCGGTTCGCGCTTTTTCACAATGCCGCGCTTCATTATGTCGGCCATGGTGGCGCCTTTGCGCGGCCGGTCCGGCATGTCCCAGCTGTCGTTGACCACGTCGATCTCTTCTTCTTCTGCGGGGAGGAGCGGCATGGAAAAAAAAACAAACAAAAAAAGATCGGCCGTTAAAAACAACATAATATACAACGCAATGGTATAATCATTAACGCGCGGCGAAAACAATAAATGTAGAAAAAAAAAACAAAAAAAAAAAACAACGATATCGCGAAGGCGGCGGAAGGAACGCGGTCGCGGCGGCAGTCCTACGCGACGTTTGTCGTCATCGGTGACGACGTCACGACGTTACCGCCGCCGCTACTACCAATACTACTACGGAGGATACTATTTTACTACGCGGCGGCGGAGGGAAGAACCGTCGTCCTTTGATCGGACGAGGGGAGCGCGCGACGCCGGGGGAAGCGGGCGCGCCGCGGTTCAAGGGCGGGCCGACGGGACCGCGCGTATTACGTTTATTGTACACGGGACGACCGCGACGATGACGGCGGCGGCGGCCGCGCCGGGGGTTGCGGAGCGCGCCATCGATCGGGCGACCGTGACGTCAGGGTCGCGGTCGTCGTCGCACAGTCATCGTCGGCGTCGCCGGTTCCCGCCAACGCGCGCGCCGCGACGACCGCCTGAATGGGAAACGACGACGGCGTGGTACCGGCGTGTCGGCGTTTTTCGCGCGCGCGGAAAACCCGGCACGCCGCCGGGAAAACCGAGAGTAGCGTCGGGCGTCGGTCGGGGCGTGCACGAGAGAGAGCGCGCGCGGCGTTTGTGTGCGCGCGGTACGTCCGCGCGCGTGCGGACGAACACTACGAGGGGCCCCGGTTAGGGTTCAAGGGCAAGTCCACGGCGGCGGCGGCGGCGGCGGCCGTCGCCCGTATATCGATTCGCCGAAACGTTTTTCCCGCCCCGCCGACAGCGCGTAGAAAATCGTATTTTTAGACGGACGCGAACACGACGGCCGAATAATAATAACAATAATACACGCCCCGATTTATGATTTCGTCGTTATCGCAATATTATTATCGTGTTGTTATTATTATTAGACGGCGCGCGCGTATTTTTCCGCGGTTTCGCGGTGATATTTTTAATCGTTTGTCGTCGACGGCGCGGGCCCGGCGGGAAAAACCCGTGTTTATTTATAGACGTTTCGGTCCGTTATCACTCCGTCGGTCGCCGCCGCGGCGATACAATGGCGAAGAACACATTACGCGCTCGCGATTCTCCCGCTCGGGTTGTTGTTTACGGGACAAAAACGTACAAAAACTGAATAAACAGTATGCCACAATATTATTGTTTTACGTTTACGTTTTGGATCGTGAAAAAACGCGCGTTTTCGGCTTGTCGACGACGAGTAGAAAAAAAAAAAAATCAACGTATCAACGTAAATATTAATAATACGGCAAAAAAAACCGAATTCGCGCGGTCGGAGACCGGTGGCCCGTTATCGATCTAAAGCGGACGCGACTGGGCACGTTACGATTAAAAATATCCCGATTAGTGGATGGGGGGGTAGTGGAGGGGTTCTCTTTTGACAATCGCGTCTGTAGTCGTACCCTACAGACAACGTTTTCGATTGCACCCAATGTTGACCGAATTTCACCACGGTGTAACACTGTCACGACGACGGGTTCTCGCGCACCGGATTCCGGTAAAACTATCGAAAAAGTAGTCGATAGTTGTCGTCGAACTATCGGTGAAAGTGTTCCGATAGCGTTCGTCCCCGGACGGTAACCTAATATCGCGCGCGACTCGCTCCGCTTAGTGAGAGTGTGGAGAGGGTAGAATGGGGGGAGGGGGAAATATCGAATTACACGCGGACAGTACCCGACGGTACCCCGACGTCTGACCCCGCAGTTTTTCGCCCGGGTCCGGCAGATGCCGCCCCGTCCGGTCGACACTTTCTAACGCGTCGCCGGGACGAGAAGAAGAAGAACACTCTTACTTTTATTTTTTTTTCCATTTTATTTCACGTAAACAACGACTGCCGTCGCCGTCGTCGCGGCGATTACGTGGTAGCGAATAAAAAAAAAAAAAAAATGATCCGCGGCCCGTCAGCTGTGTTGCGCGAGGCGTGACGACCGGCGAGAAACGGCGCAAAACAAAAACAAAAACAAAAAAACCGTTCGCGCAAAAATCTCCCGGAGACGGCTATGTCTTTTTTTGTTTTGTTGTTTTTCTGATCCAGACGTAATAATAATAGGCGGTTTTTTTTTTTGTCGTCGTCGTCGTCGTCCGCGCAATTCGACCTTGAAACACGTTACGATACTTTTATAATATCGCGATAATAATCGGCGGACCGGGGGAGGGGGAAAATGGTAAAAATAAGCGGAGAAAACGTATGATAATAATGTTATTATTATTATTATTACCATCGCCGGTGACCCACTTCGGTCGGAATAATATTATCGTAAAAGGCGTGGAAAAAAAAAAAAAATAAACGAAAAAAAGAAGTCGACACACGAACCGATTCGAAATCTCGCGATTCGCGGGTGTTTTTTTATCCGCGTCTTCGTGCGCGAACAATAACAAATAGTTTTTTCGTCTGCCCGGACCGTTGCACGGTTGAGGATTTTGCGTGGTTCTTCGGTGAAAATCGGAAATGCAACGGGTCGTTTATTCGGGACTGACGCGGCTGCCCCGTTAAAAATGTCATTTTGGGTTTCGATAACGGGCGCGGGAAAAAAAAAGCACCGCCCAATGATAATATTTTTATTATTATCTTCGTTGTTGTTGTTTTTATCGTTTTATTTTTTTTTTTGTTTTTTGTATACAAGAGAACCGGGTTGATAATCCGTTTCGGGAATCCCGGTGTAAACACGCGGCGATAATGTTCTCGCGCGGCGGGTTCGTCACGCTCGAGATAAAAAAAAAAAAAATGTATTCTCTCTGTGAAAAATAAAAATATACTCCTCTACGGGGAAAAAAAAAAAAATACAATCGTTTACAAACGTACTGAAATCGTCTTCCCGCGGGAAAGAGAAGAATAAATATGAATGGGGGAAAAAAAACAACGAGAAATGTAAACGCGCGCTACCCGCGGGGTCGGAGAGACGACGGGGCTCGGGAGCGGTTCCGTCCGCGCCGCCGGCCGGCTCTCGGAAGGAGTCGGCGGGCCTTGAACTAGGCCAACGTTTCCCGCGCGTTTCGGTCGCCGGCGACGACGGGGCCGCCGCTGCGTCGTTTTCTCCCTACTGTGCCGGTCGCCGGAGCGCGCGCACCGGCGGCCGCCCAGCGCCCGGGCGGCGGGACCCGGCGCGTGTTGCGCAACGAGACGTTGGCCGGCGAGATCGCCGAAAATTGCAACGGATAAATGAGAAAAAAAAAAAAAAGTATAAAATAATTAGTATCGCGCGCGCGCAGGTACGCGCCCGGCGATAATATTATTATTACGGTCGGCGGATATTATGACACGTTGTAATAATGCCGACGGATTACTATTTAATCTACCCGTCGAAAACGACGAGCTCGAGCGCGCGCGCGCGTTGTACGTGTGATTTGTCGCGGACGATAAATTACCGACGAGAGGTGCGACTATAGAAAAGCGAAATCGGATATTCAGACACTCACCGGAAGACTGTGACCGGGACGGCGGCGGCGTGACGAGTCCGAGCATGTCCACCAGGTGGTTGGGATGGTGTTTGGCGGGCGACACGACCGTCGACGGGTGGCAGTTGACGTTCGTGGTCGTCTGCAGATAACTGTGGTCCAGTTCGGTGATCTGTAGGATGTCCGCGTCCGGTTCCACTTTCAGTATGACCGGCTGCAGGTGGTTGTCGCTGGACCACAGATAGTCGTCCTCGTCGTCCGGCTCGGACTTGATCTCCGACTTGATGTACGGCATGGGCGACACGTACGGCGGCAAGGGTATGGCCGGCGGTGGCGACCGGGGCCGTTTCACAGCCGTCGCGTTGGTCGTCACTTTGGTCGGGGTCGGCGCCGGCGTCGGCGGCGGTTGGAACACGTAACCGGTCACCTCGCCGGGAGGCACCATCTGGAACGCTTTTTGCACTTTTTCGCGGTTCTCGTCGGTCAGCGCGTACCGGTCCGCGTAAAATATCCAATCGCATATGTCCAGGTAACTGTTGTCGGCCGTGTCGAACTCGCAGCCGTCGAACTGACACCAACTGATGTCCATGGTCGTTTCGGCCGTCTGTTGCGACGACGCGGTCATCGTCGTCGTCGACGGAGAGTACGACGACGACGGGGTAGAACCGCAACTGCTGCTGAAGCCGGGGCTGAAGCCGCTCGGCGAATTCGAGGTAGAGGTGGCGCGCCTGGCCAGGCACGCGTAACACGAGTCGCACGCCGCCGCGCCCATGTAACTGTTCTTCTTGCAAAGGTCCGTGGGCGGTCGGCCGCAACAGCCGCCGGTTATACCGACGGTGCTGGCCATCAGGCTGCCCATAAGGCCGCCGGTAACGCCGCCGCTGACGGCCGCGACCACCTCGCGTTCGAATTCGAACAGGTCGCTCTTGCACACGTCGCTCATCGGCGACGCGGGCAACACGTAGTCCATGGCGATGTCCATGGCCAGGTTGGTCATCTGGTTCAGTATGGATTCTGTGCTCGGGTTCACCATTTTGGCGGCACCTGTGCGAAACACCGTAATATTAGATCGTGAGTCGTAGACCGTGGGGGGGGGGGGGGTTGTCGGTAGGCCGACGTACGCGCGGTGAATTACGAGCGCGGGGACGAGAAGAGCGATAATTTCCCGGGGGATTCGCCGAAAAAGGGGGCCCGGGAAAAATGTGATCTTCGAGCCCGCCACTTTACCCGTCCCCGGGTTCCGCGGGCCGCAGTCACGAAAAGACGAGGTTTCGGCGAGCAAAGCGCCGGTAATGACGATGGGGGTGGGGGCCCCCGACGACTGGAAAAACATCCACGATTTTCCGAGGGTACGTGGGACGCGGCAGGAGCTAGAGGGTATGGCGTCGTCGTGAGCGACGGCGAAAGGGGGGAAAAAAAAAAAGGTTCGACAACCGAGCGCGCGCGAAAGTGAAGGGCGAGCCGGCGCGCCGGCGCGTCGCCGACGCCGGCCGGCATACGCCCAACGCGCTCGCCACGTTGGTCGCGCCGATGCCGGCTGGCGGGAAAACTCGCGCCTAAACGCCGCCGTGTTACTCGCGGGTAATATTATGTAATTTTTTTTATTTTTTTTTCGGTGACTTACCCGGCAACGCGATTTTATCCGTGTAATCCCAGCGGTCGTGGTCCACCTTCGCTGGATGTCCGCCGAACGAACGTCCCGCGCTTTCGTTTCGCCGGGAAACTCGACGAATAATCGCACGGTATCGGCCGGAAACCGACGAAAATTGTTTTTATCGCGTGTTCCGGAAAAAAACCGAAAAAAAAAAGGCGCGAACGTCGCGCGCGGGCGCGGGGCGCCGAAAAAAAAAAAATTCAAAAACGTTCGAAAATTTTTTTTACCGTGTATACGGTGGATACGGTGCGCCGAAAATTAAAATTTAAAAAAAAAAATAAAATGTTAATAATCGACCGGGCGTGTACGTAAAATACCGCCAAACTGTTCCTCGTCGGACGCCGGTAGGTAAACTCGGATGTGAAAAAATAATAACAAATAAAAACAGCACAGACGAAACGGGCGCGCACGAAAACGGTTCACCGCCGGCACCGGTACGGATAAGACTGGGCGGTGGTTGTTTCGCCACGGGAGGAGTAACACACTGTTAACGACGCGCGAGCGATGCGAGTGCTCCGCGCGGGCAATACAAGTGCGTACGAGACGGTCTCCGTAAAAGGACTGATGCGGGGCGACCGGGGCGAGGTGTCGGTACGGTCACATACACACACACACACACACACACACACACAAACACGAACTCGTCGGCACGCACACACACACACACACGATCGTAGAGCGCGCGCGTTACGTACACACACTCACACGCGCGCGCGCGCGCACACACACACACACACACACGGGCGCCCGCGCCGGCACGTTTACGCACGCACTTGTACCCCGCCGCCGTTCAAAACGCCGGCCGGCGTACGCCCCTCTACCGCCGTCCGCCTAGCCGCCGGTCTGTTGACAATGCTCGCCGCCGCTTCCCACCGCTGCCACGCCGCGCTCTACAGCACGCCGGCATGTGTACGTACGCGCGCGCTCTCTCGGACCCGTGTGTCGGCGTTTGCCGGTGTGTGCGCGCCGCGTGTGTGCGTGTGTGTGCGAGCCGGCAAACGCTCTTTCTCGTTCCCGCCGCCGCCGCAGCGTTTCCCGCCCGGCGAATTGTGCTCTGCTGCCACGCCGTTCCCGCCACGAAAAACCGACGACGGTACCCGCGCGCCCGGCCCGTAAATAACCGGCGGCGCGTCTATCGCCGGCGTTCCCCCACCGCCCCGATTCCGACGATCCGTCTGCCGCCGCCGCCGCCGCCGCCGCCGTCGCGAGCCGCGACTCTCCCGGTACCGCGCGTTTCGTGCTCGCGCGGGAAACGCCGACGGATTTTCGGCGGGAACGCTCCGGTCGCCCCGACGCGCGACGGCGGCCTCGGTTCGGCCGTATTTCACACACGCGCACACGCGCATACCCGACCACGCTGCGTATTAACCACCCCGCCGCCGTAGATTTTTTTTCTTTTTTTTTCTCGCTCCCTCTCACTCGTTCTGTCTCTCTCTCTCTCTCTCTCTTCTTATTCTCAACAGTTATTATATTATTATTGTTATTACTATTTTTCGTCCTCCGCGGCGTCGTCGTCGTCACACGTTTCAAAAGCGGTTTTTTGTATTATTATTGTTCCCGTCTCTGTCTCACACTATCCTCGTCACTCCGTTTCTCACTGTCCACGATAACAACAACACACCGACACCGTATTATTATTTTTTTTTTTTATTTATTTATCGCGTTTCCGCGGTACTCCGTCGTCTCGGCTACGGACTTCTCCCGCGTTTATTTCCAAACGTTACGTCGCGGTCGCCCCGTGATAGCATTATTACTATCGATAACGGTATAGCTCGGGATCCGCGCACCGTTCGACCCGGAGGACAAACGCAGGAGAACCTCGGGCGCGGCTAGAGATATTTTTCCGGGCGGGTCGGCCGAGATAATTCGAATGTCCGAACGGGAATGACGACTGGTACACATTTTGGATTTTAAAGTTGCGTTAATTTCCGGAGAAAGTCGGCAGGCCCGGGCCCACCGGGCCCGTCCGCTGGCTACGGCACCGGCGGAAAACCGCTCCGGGAAAACGTTTTCGGCGGCCACATCCTCCACGATGTCGTCCGACGGGTATTGTTGTTTCTGACGACGGTGATATGATAACTATTCGTAAAAATAACGACATTTTCAAAAACGAGAAATAAATGAAATTGTCGACCGTATTATTATTATCGTTATTATTGTTGTTGTTGTCGTCGTCGTCGTCGTCGTACGTATAAATCGTACATTATAAAAATGTTAGCGACGAGTGTTCCGGCCATGTCGCCGGACGCATTCATGCAAGTAAATCGCGGCCGAGGAGGGGTGGGTGGAAAGAAGACGGTGTTCGCCCGTTTTTATTGCTCCCCCCTCCACCTCCCATCGGCATAATACGGTTCGTTAATGACGTTTTCGGCGGGACGAGATGTACGGCCGTCCTCGTCTCCTCTGCCGACGGTTTTTCCGTTTTTCGCGGCAATAAAAACCGGCCGGTGAGTAGTCCGCCGTCGCCGTCGTCGGTCCACTGCCCCCGTATCGTCTCCTCTCCACCGCGGCGTTGACGTAATAATTACCGAACGAATTAAAACGCGACCGAAACAAACAAACAAAAAGACGGACACACGCACGCACGTGGACGGGCCACTGTTGTAGGTAAAAAGTTGGGAAAGTACAGTAGAATGGACATTCAATGTGTGTCTGTAAGCAACGATAAACGATTGCTGACGATAAAACGATTCTGAGCGGAGTTCAGTTGATAGGTAAAATAATTACATATCGGCATTATATATTTTCCTTAACATTATTTGTTTAATATTGTACCTATTTTCCCGTTTTTCTTACGTTTTTCCCGGTTTTCCCATTTATTAGGAAACCTCTTGGGAAAGATTATGGAAATATGTGCGCTTTTTAGATTCTGAGTTTAGCGAAGAATATATTGATTTTACAAAAATTTTTATTTTTATTTTTTATTTTTTTTTCATGTAAACACTTTTTTTTACCAGAAAACTTACAACGAATATCAAGTATAGAACCTCTTCTGAAAGAAAAAGTTTTCTGGATGGTACTTTGGAGAGGTCATTTTTGAATTTCATTAATATTAGAGATAATGAGGAAAACCTGGTTTTTTTGGTTAAAAAAGATTGAAAGATTAATAATAAAATTGTCACTGACAACCGTTTTTATTTATTTTTCATTTTTATTAGTTTTTTATTATTTTAATGTTTTTTTGAACAATCATTGTTGTCATAGAAACGCACATTGTTGTAATTATTTTAAGATAATATATGGCATATATTATATATTGTTGATAAAGCAACGCTATCTACTAAACTCCGCTCAGAATCGATTTTTCGGTAACAATGGTTTATCGTTGCTTACAGATGCACATTAAATTCTCGTCCTACCTTGCCAACTTCCCATCTACAACAGTGGCTGCGCCCACGTACGAAGTACTTTTTTTTTATTATATTAATGATTTCAGTGGCATTTTTTTAGTTTTAAAAAACTATGACAGAGTGTAAACAATATATCCGTGATTTGTGAACAAAATGTTGTCAGTATACGGCGTATGATATGGGAACACAACTGATGTCACGATACTTTCTCGAAATACCTATGATTTTCAATGAATTGATAGTTCCCATTCATTATATAATCATTTTTCAGGGGAGGACGGACACTATCGATTTTGTGGCCCGCTCAAGGTGTAACAACCAATTTTCTTTATGGCACACCCCGCGGCGAATAAATCCTGCGCACACCTGCGATGTTGCAAGTGGAAAAAAATAGCAAAACGTTAGGTTGGGTCGAGTCGGGTAGACGGACTAATGGCGGGGAGTTGGCGCGAATTAGACGCGATTTTCGTCGAAACATTACCTATATTTTGTAGCACAGAAACGTACGAATAGAAAGGGGCCAGTTAGTTTATTTATAAACACACAAGACGACAATAACGTTTCCCCGGAATCGGACGGGAAACGATTATTACTAAAATATCATTGGGCAAGTTTTCGCGTTTTCGATAATATTACTATCTCCGGGTAATTTCCAGTACCGTAGTTTTTAAATTTTATAACCACCGGTTCTCTACTCGACGGGCGGAAGTGGAACGCCGAAAATAGACTCGGAATTCGGAACGTTATCTGCAAAGGCCGGGGTACGAACCGATAAAAACGCTCGCAGGGGAATCGCATATGTGCACGACAAACACGTTCGCCGGGATTGCCGAGCCGGACGTAAAATAAATATTCTATTTTTGAAACCGAAGAAAACGATATTTCCGACTGGCGCCGCGACGTAAGGTTTCCCCTGCCCCCCCCCCGCGAACGACTTTTCTACCAGCAATCTGGCTCCGATGTTCGGGCCCAGCATATTTTCCGAAAGGAAATTACATCGGGACGGCACTGTGTGCTGGTCGTTTTTTCGATTTTCCAAGCGGTTTTCACGATAATCGGGGAAAACGTACGTACGAATGTATAAAAAAAATGAAACTTCGCTCCGAATCGTTTTTCGTTAGCGACGGTTTACCGTTGCGTATACAGACGTAAATTAGATTCCCCTCTATAACGAACCTTCCCGACTTCCCGTCGACAACAATGGCCCTTGCCCGTCGTATGAAGTATGTCCGTATTTTAGAATCTGAGCGGAGCCAGGAATGTATACTGGTTTTACAGTGATGTAAACGACTTTCCACACGAAATCTCGCACCGATCAAAAACGTTATAGAAGTTTTCTCGTAGCATTTTCCATCTGGTCGGCGCAATTTTCGATTTTACTTGTAGTTCCCTTCCTGGCGATTATTATCGTTATTTGTCGATTTCCGATAATATTCTCCGCCAGGGGAATTGACTTTCGTCACCGTCGGTTTATCGTCAGACGCAAATTAAATTACTCAATATACTATCCTACCTCCCTTCCGAAACTGTGGCACGTCCGTCGGTGCGCCTTTTTTATTTTAAAAAAAAAAAAAGAAAAAGAAGCGATTTAACACTGAGCGTTTGCGCTCTAAAACCGAAAAATCGAACGGGTAAACGCGTTTTCGTATATACGCCGCTGGAAATCACCGGTTTCACACGTCCCCTGACAAATTAACAACAATAAATATAATACTTATTTTTTTTTTTATTTTTTTTTTCATGTATATGTACAAGTGGCGTTTGAACGACAATATGTTATAATAATCGTCGTTATTAATATTTCATTCTTGCCGGGCGTTTTTTCTCTCTCTTTTCTTGACACCGAACAAATAAATGGGTCGTGGGTCGTATTGTACCGAAGGTGCATAATATGCACTGCATATACTGTATAGGTACACCCGTTTTGTTTGTAAAAGAAAACACATGTATGTTATTATTATAATACGGTATTGCGTCGTCGTTCAATATAGTTTTGGAAACGCAGTTTTGTTCCGTCAATATTGCTTTATATATTTATAAAATTACGTACGGATATGACGTTACGAGGGTATTCGGTGTACCGCACGATAGGAAAACGGTCCAGTGGATATTTTTCGCGAATACCGCGTCGGGTTTACACTATAAACGATGGACGCGTGTTTTTGCTTCGGTCCGCACTAGAGCTCTGGGCGGGCCGATAT